TTACGAAATTCAATGCGCCAATCAGGTAGCTTGCAATTAAAAGGAAAATACACGAAGCTCGTGTTGGATAAAACAGAAAAATTAATATTTACCTCCGTGACTTTCGGCTCGGTTTACCCGAATGAAAACGATTCCTCGCTTTCGATATCGAGGATTTTTCACTCAAGCGTCCTCTCCTCGCGACCCTATATATAACGCTCGGCTATATCTCGTTACTTAAAAGTTACGCAAACCCCCATAGACGGCAAATAAAATCATCTTCATAGACCTTCTCTTACATTCTACTCTCCCTTCATATTTGATTTTTTGAACGGTTTGAACGCGTTATTTATTTATCGTTAGGTAGGGAAAAGTGCATTTTTTTGCGAGCGTTGCTCAATGGTTTAACGGTAAATTTACTCCGTACATAGATTACTCATGTGCAAACGGTAAAATTCAGCGTGCAAACAGTGATTATTTGATCATTAGTAACAATTAAAGATTCGTGACGGATCAATTTGGAGCATCCACGGCGTGTACGTGTAAGTCATTACAAATCTCTCGCTTGCACAAAGCTTCAATTATTCATTGCGTAGTGTGCTCATAAACCTTTTACCCGAAAATATACATAATGGATTCATCCATATATGACAAACGTGCGGTAGGCAAAACACTTTGACATAAAAAAATAAGAAAGCAAATGAAAGCACTACAAAAATTTAATAATCGATAAGCCGAGGTTCACGATATTGAATCACCGAACGCAAAATGTAATCTGAGACGAAACTCCATACGCCGTGAGGAAGAAAAAGCTGTTTGATCAATGAATGCTGTTTGCGCTGTACGTTCTCTCCCTCTCTCTCTCTCTTTTCATTTTCTTGCTCGTTGAAGGATAGGAATGCATATACCGAAGGAAGCCTTTTTCCAATAGGCGCGCAGACAAGGATGAACTGATGAGACCGCATTACCGCGCCGTAGCTGCTTTCGCAAGCGCACGCGTAAATCAGGAAGCATCGTGCAGCTTCACCAACCGCCGCAACTGTCGGATAATGCATGAAGCGCGCTACATGTATATTCCTACGAAGAAGGAGAGGCGCAGCTCGATCTCGATGCTCGCGCGAGTAATAGGAGCATCGACACGTCTGACGTTGTGTTCACCGGAAAGAAGTTTCATTGTCACGGCATTCTATTTTACGCGTAGAGATCCCCTTTTGCCTCTGTGCATACGTGATGGATGAGTTTTGATATTCGCGGCTTACGTAATATCTCCTTGAAAAATATTATTCCTGCATATACGTCGGATAACATTATTCTTGAATTTTTGAACGGGAGGATAATGCACGAGGAGAAAATACTGTATATAATACCCCATTAAACAAATGTTCGTGCTTTATCTTAATTAGAAATGTACGTCGCTAAGCGTTCATTTTGAACAATCGGCATTTGCAAAGTCATTAAACGAAGACTCTTTGTTGCCCGTGCAGACAGCTAAATGAAAGAAAAAAATATTCGAGCACTCGCGGGTCGAAGCAGTAAAAAAACGTGGAAAATCCGTGTATCGTAGATAATACGATCAGCACCTTGCTCGCGGGTACACACCCAGACAAACAAAATTACCTCATTATCTCTTATTACTCTAGCGCGAGCTAAACATGGTAGCGGCGTCGATGAGAAAACGGCTTTATAAATAAAACAGCCAGTGACACGCGCCACTCAATTAAGCCGACAGTATCGCATTGTATACCGGTAGAAGAGAATAAGCCAGATACAAAGGGAGGTGACCTTTGCGCGATTTACCCCGATGTGGTAATACGGCTGAAGGTAGAGCGCAGCGCGCGCGTGTCGAAGAAATCTCGTGTCTGCTCGTCAATTATAAGCGCGCCTCCTCACCCACACGACTAAGAAAGCGAGAAAAAGGGAATTTCGCGGCCTTGACGAAGGCGCTCGCAATACAGTCGGCTTCTATTCTCCGTGTTTTCAATAGCTTTCAGATGCCCGGACTGTTGCACGGTAAAAAAAAAATAACAAAAGACCAATTGTTTCCGCCTAGCCGCTTATTAGAGGGAAACAGACTGCAGTTCGCCAGTGCGCGGAATCGAGCGATCTTCTGTTTACGGAAAGCCCATAAACGAGATTCGAGCTGACGAGGGCCTGTTGTTGTGTTTATCTTGTGAGTGTTTTTTTTCTATGGTAGAGAAAAAATATCGTGCAACGAGTATTGGTGGAGTGTATATAGGATTTTCATGATGCAAGATTCAATACAATACATATGTACCATTATAAACAAAAAGTAAAATTGTTCTCTTAAGAAAAATTTCTGATAACTACATGGAACGATTAGTTTTACTATAGTGCACTATTTAAGTATACTTAATTGATATAATACACTGATAGGGGGGAATATTTCGAAATCAAGAAACCATCCTACATAGGTATAAGCGTTACGACAATTAGTTAAAACGACAATTAGTAAGCCGAAGATTTATGCAACTCTATGGAAATACGCAACTTAATTTGTGCAAATGAGCAGGCACTTTTAATCCAAACCTTTCGTCAGTGAAATCCTGGAAAAAGATAAGGAAGCAACTTGACAAAAGAGAGGAATAACCGAGCGTTGACGAGTGAGCCAATTAAGTAAAATAAGTAAAAGAGAAAAAAAAGTAGTTTTGTACTGATCCGTATACGCAGAGAAGGGAAAGGAGATCGAGAGCTAGCCAAGTTTTCAGCCATTACTTAAAACAATCGCCTAGAGTCGTTGAAAAAGTTCGAAGAGTCAAGAGAAAAGTTCTCGCGGCTATGTCGGATAGTTAGCGCGCAAGCACTAAGAGCCAAGTTGCAGAGCGTAAGACGAGAAGATATCGTAATCTGTAAAATGGCCATCGGCCACCACTGCTGCGATGCGGTGCTCAAGCTAACGGCGCGAAAATTTGCGCGATCGATCGTACGATCCGATCGCTGAATAAGTGCTGTGTTGTCCCCCTGGCATCATTCCTTTTTTGCCTTTATTAAAGAGGTGTGAAGTGCTAGAATTGCAGCAGACTGCGCTGAGTTTTATTGGAGACCAATAAATTTTTGTAGGATCAAATCGCGCTCTATGAGTTCCAAGACTGCTCTTATAATTGAATTTCCAAAGAGATTGACATTCTTTCTTTATACGTTTTATTATGACATTTCTTCGTCGCTTTTATAATTGTAATTTTCGTTATTTTCAAGAATTATTTTCATTCCATTTCAATTTATCAGATATAAATTCTATGCATTAGAAATTCATTGAAGTAATTTTTAACACCTATTGCAACGAAGACCATTCATTATTTATTATTTCATTTATTTTATGATTCCAATGGCTCATGCCTAAATTATATATTCTTCGAAGTTCAATTTGCAATTTGATCATTTTGAATTAATTACTATTAGATTCTTTGTAATCAAAGAATAATGTAAATAATGTATGTATACACTGAAGCAATTTAACTGATTCAATCGCACCAGTGATATGCGTTACTTATTATTTGTGTTACATCAAAATTGCAGCTGCATATTTGACATGTTTTGATAAATTCAATCTGCCTAATTTTCTTTTATTCATTGGCTGTTTTCGACTAATTTCAATCCACAAAATGAGGAAAAGAATTTATTTGTCAGACCAATTAAAACAATTTGATTATACTTCAGAAAATTCATAATGTTATCCTCAAAACTATCAAATATCCGATACGATTATGTTTTTAAAATAATACGTTGGTTTTATTGGACGAAATTTCATTAAAAATTCACTAAATACTTCACTAGTAAAGCACTTTTCAGAACTCAAAACAGTAGTACAAGAATAGAAGACATTTACCCGCAGAATAAAAAAATCGTCGACCTTGTGCCACTACCGCAAGACAAGTAAAAATATTTTGCGAAAGAGCAACGAGCGGAAAAAATATATTGCCCGATTCATTCCACGTAGCAGACGTGCGTCTACGCGTACGCGCGTACAGCCGCACAAACACAGAAAGCTCTTACGCATAGGTTGCAAATAATTTCGAGGCGGAGTAAGAAAGAGCGAGAGACAAAGGTGAGCGCGGGCAGAAGCCGAGTTTCCCAATTTTCGTGCAATTCCATTATCGCGTTCTTGATCGTCACGGCACACGGAGCGCCCCTAAAAGAGAGAGAGAGAGAGAGAGAGAGAGAGATAGACCTACATTGTACCGAAACGAAATTTCCGGCGAGCATCCGTGTGCACTGCGTGTGCCGGCGGCGTAACTTAACCTTGAAATTAGCCATTAATCATTTAGCCAGTGATATTACAATGGGTCTCATTAGGCAATGATCAATAACAAAACAGAAAGAGAAATATCCACATGCGTTACTAATAGTTCCACGCGTGTTCTAGCTTCACTAAACTCGTGTATGATTTAATTTGTAGCATTTCAAGAGATTTCAAGGGAATATTATGAATGAATCTGTTCTAGATAGCCTTAATTGCCCCTTTACGATCTAACTTGGAATATGACGAGAGAAATACTAGCTACTTCATCCGCTTTGTAGAGTTAGTTTTCAACATCACATAAAGGCGGCTATGAAAATTTTCATGACACCTGTTCATCTTTACTCATACCTATTGAATAAAATTGCCGTGCTATTCCATTCAAAATATGTTTAAACAATAAGCTGCTTTCTGATACGTCCATAGTAGTTGCAAAGTATAGATGTTTGAATTTGATGAAATAATTTTTGCAAATTATCGGCTTTGAATGCTGTTTCATCCTAAATGTTCACAACACTTTCTAAATTATTCAACAGCGTATCCTCATGAGAGCTGCAATATCATAAAATTATTATCTCAAATAAACTATATCATTTCATCAAAATTCAATGCCAAAAATGAACTTTTTCCCGTCTTCACATATAAGCTGTTTATGAAAAAGTTAATACACATCAACTTTTGGACTCGAGCTTTACACTTTACTGGCATAACAATAAGTCACATCAACATCTCTCAATTTTTCAAAAGCTAAAACAATAATACTTACATAGCAAGAGGAATAGCTTGAAAATCATTGTTGCGATCGGGGCGCCAGCGCGAAGCCTGAAAAGAAATAACGAAACGTTAATAAAAACTTTCATACTTGCTGCGTACAATGATTTAAGTGGAAATCGTATCAAAAGTATGCCTCAAGTTGGATACTACAAACATATTGCAATCCGCCTTAAAAATGAGTCATAGTAATGCATTTTCTATGATAAATCACGAAAGATAAGTATTCTGCACTACCACACTTTTACTATTAAATGTTGAAGATGTCGGCAGAGTAAACGAATAAGAAAAAAAAAGAATTCGCAGCAGCTAAGAGAACAACCACGGAAAAATGTGACGCGACAGCTGTATAATATGATGTGTTGATATCGTTACAGAATATGGTTGACTTCCATTATCGTGAAAAAATTGAATTTGGTGACTTGGGTATACGGTGCAATAATTATGTTAATTTGAAAGTAGGGTGAACTGCAAGGTAAAATTTTACAACTTCGACTCGATAATGACATAATGTATTTTGCCTAAAGCACAAACATATTTTGAGAAACTAGAAGGTTGCTATAAGTTTTTTAAATTATTTTAATGGACAATATCATAAGAAAATTTTATTTTGTTACTTTTTAATTTTGAGAAAAAAGGACATTGGGCTATATTTTCCTACAAATTCAATAATCGATATCTAATAAAAAAGTAATATTTTTTCGATTGTTAACGATGAAATAAAAAGTCACTTTATTAAAACAATAACTCACTATATACTATAAATTGCACAACTAAAGAACAGAAGGAAAAAATTTAAAAAAAATTTGACAATTGCCGAAACCCGGGATTGAACCGGGGACATTTAGATCTTCAGTCTAACGCTCTCCCAACTGAGCTATTTCGGCTTGTCAAGTAGTTTGTTGCCGGCCTTACTTGGTGCTTGCCCCACCACACAATTGCTCCCTCTCTCGACATTCAGTGATGTTACGTGTACTTTCACGGGCTATTCCCCAGGCTAATTTCAGACTGTATCGCACGTGGCCTCCGTAACGGAAACATTGAGACGACAGTTTCTATATTGTTATATTCTGGATTATTATCACCTTGGTATTTAGTTTTCTCGCATATAAAATATATTGTAGCATCTTACATTATTCAATTTAGTAATTTTCGATTATCGAATTATTATTATTTATATGCAATCCAGTCATTGGTAATTCTCAAATAAATATTATCTCTAGAATTTACAACATTTAATTTATATAAAATAACGTTCCGTTTTTTCAAAGTTTCAACGTTAATTATAACACGTGTTTGATGAAGAAATTATCTCGATAACTGCACGCGCCGCAACCACATCGTTAATCCGTTTTAAAGCAATTCAATTATAATGCAGCGCATTATTTGAAAATACAAGTTGAGATATTAATAAAATCGATAACTGTAAGAACCAATAATTCGATTATTACGCAAGCAGTACATACGACTTTAAAGATCTAGTTAATAGTGCAACATTCCATATCATTTCCACCTAATCAAATTGATCTCATCAGCAGATACATACGTAATCTCGGAACTTCAATCTAGATCAAATTAATCATTCGCGCACATCAAACACATAACTAATCCATCGTATAGAGTGTAAAGACAGCCGCGAGGGACAAGCATGTATGCATGTATATATAGGTATAGGAAAGACGACATACGTGTACAGAGTTCGATGCCGGAATGCTTTAATATTTCACGGAAGACGAGCAGTCCCAGCGCCCGGCGCTAATTGAATTGCAGATTGCGCTCGGTCCGCTGGCTCGCTTAAGCGGCCGTTATACATGTTATATATACGCACACCAACAACTTACAAAATATGTCTTTCCCATTCCGTCTCTACAACCCTTCTCATTCTGTTTATCTTTGTGTGTGGTATAATGTTGCTTTTTAGAACTTGTTAGGAATGTTCCGCTTTTCGAATTTCGCTGCGTAATCATAACACTTGATGTGCTCACTGAATAGCCAAATTACAAGTAGAACATGCTCTGTAGCACAAGTGTGGTTGCCCATTTAATTGTGGATTATACGAAGATAATTGGATGTCATTGTGGAAAATAATAGTCATCTTTAGATCAATTTGTAGATCAACTTTTCGAGTTTAAAATATTACTAATGTTAGTTATGGAACTGTAAGTTCGGCTTTCCTCACAGTATCCAATAATACTGAATAAGGGCATCGACATCACCATTGATAGTAGTGGAAAAAATTATATACCGTCAGAACAGACTTACACTAGTACACTCGGTATCCTAACGAGGAGAAACTCGTTACCCTGTCGAAGAAAGGAGTAAGATCTACATTCTGAATACTTTTCCTCAATATTATAGCCATTAAAGTATCGATATAACGGAAATGTTTTGTATTTTTTTTTTTCATTTTTTTCAATATGCGTAAAAATCTACTTTTTATTGACTGCTTGTAATCTCACTGAATTTCATACCAAAGATCACAATGACGGCACGACCAAAATAAATGCCTGTGTCAAAATATTTTGAAAAAGAGAAGCAGTTTCCGCGATGGACGACAGGCCTTGTAAAAAGTACTTAGGAATGCACATTTGAAGATTAGAAGTATTAATGTATGCAACTTATAGTAACAATTATTACACAGAAGTATATCACCTTGAAACGGTTTATTTTTATTGTCTGCCTAAATAGCAAGTACTCGTAAGTAGCTTTAAGCATCGTCGAGAAAATTATCGTAATACAGAAAATTTACAGTGATTCACAAAGATATATTTATTTATAAATTCTCAGAGATCGGGATCAGCGCTCTTCACTTTACAATTGAATTGAGTAAGTCAATAATTTATTACGAAGTTTAACAAGAACCGAAGCGTTAAATGCGATAATGAAAGCTGTAATACTCTTATGCACGTGCACGTACACAAATCCAGTAATATAACACCAAGATGCGCGCGATATATACGATCAAAAGTGGTGACCGATAAGAGAAAGTCCTTCCTTGAAGCATCATTAAGATGATCGACGCATTAACGCTTGGAAACCCGTTTCTTGAACCCCACAAATCGCGTCGTTTATAGATAGCCATCACACATACAACAAGCTGGTGGTAATTCGTCGATGGGAAATCTTTTACATAATTGTCTTTTTTTCATAATTCGCTTTTGTATTTATTGCTGATAAATTAACGTCGAGTGCAATGAAAAAAAAATCTCTTCTTTACGTTGAATTTGCAGGGACGCGCGGTGCGATGACGAAACATAACTCCAGGCCTTTTTCACGCTGTTAAAAAGTTGATGGGGTAAACTGGCTTTTATCTAAGCGACCGCTAACTTTCCAGTTGTTAAATTTCTGAAGAAGCTTTGTGCGGCATTATTGTACCTCATTGAATCCTGATAATTAGATTTTAATTGATTGCCGCGTTACCAGGAAAAGCATGACAAATTGACGTGGCATCGGCAAAAATCTCACGACAAACTTTCGTAACTTGTTGAGTTATATCTAAAATTTGTGCTTTTCAACAGGAAAATTAACTCGGAAATCGTAAAAATATTTTCATTTAGAATATAGTTTCTAGTTCTGGTCATCGTTATGTTTTTGATGAAACGTTACAAGGTGCTGAATTTCAAATTGAATGGTAAAATGAATCTTTGAGAAAAATCAGCCGCTACATTTTACGAATCAGCAGTAAAAATCGAGAGTGCAATGCACTTCATAAATAATGGGATCCCATTGAAAAAATAATTTCAAGAGTTTGAGACATTAGCATACAGAAAATTAACATAAGAATCCAACAATAGCCACGATCTCGAGAGCATCCCAACAAATCTCTTTGTCAAAACAATGCACATAAGGCAAACCGCAGGACATATATAATATACGATATAGTAGCAGACCCCTTATATATGCATGATGTGATGCACTGTGCGTGGTGACGAGACGATGACGAATGGAGCATGGCTAGCGCGCGCGGGTGAAAGTGCGTGCATTTATAATGCAAAATGTGCAGCTGCGACGAAGATTCCGGAAAAGACTGCTTAGACGCTAATGCGTCGCGATAAATCCCGAAATTGCGAAGGGGCGGGAGAGGAGCGGGGAGCCGAAAGACTCCTCTTTGCGCGAGTGGGAGTTCGCATTAATTATGCGAGGAAAACAAGAATTTTATCCCGACAGAGAGAAGTGCAGCCCGGACTATTTGTTTGCTGCTCGACGTGAAAGTTTTGTTGTGCGTACTGCGATTCTGCCTAACGACGCTGAATTATTGCCGTTGAATTGCCAGCGATTATTCGCCGGCTCGATGCTGATTGAGATTAGGATTAATGTTGCATTATGAGCCGCAGAGATACACATACACCCGAACGTTTGATGGATAATGTTATTCGGAATGCTTATCGTATCGGCTCTCAGCTCTTCGTAGCTGTCGTGTAAAGAATTTGCGTAACAAATCATTTTTACGCACAGCGGTTTGACGCATCTTTCTCTCGTCCCCGTAACGCGGCCAAGCGTAATTTCAGTTGTACGTTTACGCAGGTGGCTTTGATTGAAAATTCTCATTACGCTTGTTTATCTAAACTTTGAGGAGGATGTGAAAGTTTTTGCCAAGGCGCCTTGACGATGCAGAATAATTACAAGAAGAAAATTATTATGCAAGTTGCGGAGTTTATTATCCCTGCCCATTAATTTTTCGGCGGACTTTCATGCATGCATAATATTCGTCTATAATTATTCAATTATTTATGTATTAAGTAGATACGACGAAAAAAAAGCGCCAGCATTTCGTGAGCGACATATTCATTCGAAGTGTGATGAAAGCTAGACTACGCTAAGAAAAATCAAAATTGCAGCACTAATTATAGAAATCAATATAGTTACTTTATTCCAAAATGTGCACTTGCGCAAAACTCTCTGCACGCTGGCGCGCATGCATGAACAACGTTCTTATTGACAAATCAGATATGCGCGTGGTCGAGTGGCAAACTCGTCGAGAATGTTCACCTTGTCAAACAATTCATATTGATCAATTGAAATCTGCGACGGGCGCAAACACAATGAGCATC